CTCTTTCCTCTCCCAGGTAGCCCTGGTGTGGAGGATGCTGTGCCTGGAGGCCACCAGCACCGCGGGGACCCTCTGAGGACAATGCTCGGGGTGCAGGGTGGGTGATGCTCCAGGGATGGCTGGCGTGGCCTCCACTGCCCCACTCCCACCTCCACCTGTGGCTGGCTGCTGAGCTAGGAGGGAATGGCTGGAGTCCCAGGGGAGCTGGGGCAGCATTTGTACCCACAAAAGGAGCCTGGGCACAGCCACGCCACCGTCCCCAGCCTCAGTACAAGGGTGCCCACTGCAGGGATGATTTACCATGTCCTCTCCTCAAAACTGCCTCTCCTGCTGTACACACACCATTCCCAATAAAACTGCCTTCCTCCTGGGTATTAATCTTTATACGGACACTTGATGCAACATCAGGGGTCAAAGGAATCTCAACTTCTGTAGTTACAGGACTGACTTTTTTTTGTTTTAAATGAAGACATTTTTTAAATGTTATGACTTGACCTTTATAAGGAGCTGCTGCCTTCAGGTTCTGTGTTTTTTTTAAAAAAGTGTAGTAATTTATATTTGTCTTTTTATTTAAATTCACGGCTTCACCTGTTTCTGGTGCTGGACCAAGGCGGCGGGAGCAATGCTGTTCGGGCTGGGAGTTTCAGTCCCAGTCGCAGCTGAAAAAAGGCTGCAAGAAAGATTAAAAGACCGTTAAATAAAACCAAACCACTTTACAACGCAGATCACAGCTGTCCCAGAGCAGAATGTGGGAGCTGCACATTTAGGGATGACTTTGACAGAGACGAGACCGTGGCGTGGCTGGGCAGGAGAGGGGTCGATGCTGCCAGCCTTTGGAAAGAGGGAGCCTTTTTGTCCTGCGGGCACAGGAAGGTCGATGGGCATCGTGGGGGGATCCTGGCACCCAAGGACGGACGGACAGAATCCCCTGCACCCAGTCTGCAGCGGCAATGTACAGCAGAGGCCTTACAAACTCGACACTCAGGTGTTTTTCCAGCTGATGCAGGGCTTGGAGGAACAAAACGAGGATTATTATTTCTGGTTTTGTTTTCACTATAGAAAATATTTATTTTAAAGTAAGAAAATGGAGGGAAAAAAAAAGAAGAAGAAAAAAACCAAACCTGCCCAAACCATACCATGGACCTTTTTTGGCCTAAAGATGTGTTTGCCAGCTGGGGAGGCAGTGGCCGCCACTGCCACGTTTCCTGCAGGTGCCCTTCTGGTCCTCTGCACCCTCGCTGGCCACGCCGGGTGTGTGTGTAGCATTGTGAAGCGATTCGGAAAGCAGTGTTTGTTCATAATACTGTAATTTTTATATATGTAGGTATATATATATGTGTATATATATATAAGGTTCCAGGGAAGAAAGTTCCTTCACTTTATTTAATATTTTGTAAGAATATGACTTTTAAGAGCTGCCTTGCCTGATTAAAAGGGTTTTGGCTCGTTTTCCAACATGCCATTCTTTGGTCTCTGCTTGCCAGTGTGCAGGGAGCCCTATGGGTCACCCATTAATAAGGGAGCACATCCTAGCACCCATGAGGGGTATGTCCCGAGGTCCCTGGGTGACAGCCCGGGAGGAGGGTGTTGGTAGAAGGGAACTGGGCAGGAGAGCTGCAGGGTGCAGCAGGGATGGCAGTTGGTGATGCCTGCCACTGGGGCAGTGTACCCCAGGCTGATCCAGCGGGGACCCACAACACCCCCTACCCCTTGTGAGCCCCCATCAGGAGCCCAAAAATCTGCCTGATCCCAAGAGCCAAGCCACATTTTTCAGCCCAAATTACACCAGTCCAACAGGGAAACAACACTGCCATGGGCAGCACCACCACCCCCTACAAATAATGGGATTTTTTGAGGGGCATCTATAGTGCTTGAAGCTGGTGTTCAGGGAACTGCCTGCATGGAGGCACACCAGGGACTTTATGGGGAGCAGAGGGAAGCTGGGACCCACCCAGCTGGGAAAGAGCTTCACCTGGGGGAAGGCAAAGTAGTTTGTGGGTTAATTTGGAGCAGCTGGAATGGAGCTGCCCCCACCCTGGAAAATGGGATAAAAGCACAGGGCTGAGGTAGAGGCTTGGTGCTCTCTTCTGTTTTGGTGCTACCAGGTAAGGGATGTTGCTAGCTGGGGGTTTTTGCCTTCCTTAGGGATTTATCTGAGCTATGGGGGCTGTTTGGGGCATGTGTGAGGCAATGGCTGAGCCTGGGGCTGGTTACCGGAGCTGCTGAAGTTGGTACAGGTGTTGCTGGGTGCTGTTGGAGCTCAGGGAGGTGTTTTGGGAAGGGGTCTCTTGTGTGTGGAGTGCTCTGGGGATAGACTGTCACAGGGGTGGGGGGAGCTTGGAGAGACCCAGCCTGATGTTCCTGCTCTGCTTCCCCACAGCTGGGCTTTCCCCATGGCCTCTCCCAAGCAGAGACGAGGGGTAGGACCACCAGTTCCCCTGGATGTTGCTGTGCTACAGCCAAAGCTGATGCCCTGTGGTGATAGGGAAGGGGCTGTGGTCATGGCCTGGCACCCCACTGCCTGTGTGGGCACTGCTGCTAGCAGGCTGTGGTGCAAAGCTTTCCTAGTGCTGACTGTCTGCCTGACTGCCACTGCTCTCCCATACACCCTGGGCTCTCTGGCTGCTCTGTCCCAGGCTACTCCAGGCTCCCTGGCTACTTCCTATCCTCAGCCAGGGTTGCCAGCAACCCAGAAAGGGACAAGTGATGATTTGGTGGCAACGCATGAGGATTTGATCAACTACCCAGTGACACAGCAGCTGATGGGCCCTGCATGCACCCCAGGCCTTCTGGGGGTTGAAGGAGATGTGTTCTGTGCTACAGATGACAAGGGACAGAGCCTGGGGGTGCCACCTGTGGCCATCGCCTCTCCCTCAGCGGCTCAGACCTCACAACTGTGGAAGCTTGGATCTGGGCACAGGGAAGGGCTCAAGTTGGGCACAGCAGCGGCTGTGACACTCTCACATGCAGGGGTGCCTGCTGCCTCAGATCTCCAGACCATAGGTGAACCCAGTCCTGGCTCCCAGCATCACCCAGCTCTGGGAAGCCTTTCTGGCACAGGACCAGACTCTGCTGTGACACCCGAGGTGCTCTGGGACACGCAGTCTGCTGGCACCTTCCCACATAGCGAAGAGGCTCTGCTGGTGGACACCGTATTGGCCGAGGTCCCGGGAAATGGGTCTGCGCTTCTGGCTGCTGTTTTGGCATCCCTTCCCAGTGCTGCAGTGGCTCATGAAGTCAACCACTCGCAAGTGCCAGCTCCCTTTCTTCCTACAGCAGAGTCTGGGGGCCCTGCTGTCACCTCGGAGAAGCTAATTGGCCTGTCTTCCCTCCCTACACAGTGGACTCTGCTGACATCCACTGAAGCCCACCCTTCCCCAGCTCTGACCAGTGTTCCCAGTGCTGCAGGTCCCACTGTGACTGGGGCGAGCTCAGCCCCTGATGCCATCTCAGAGCCTGGAGTGACCAAAGTCCCCTACAAGGACAGAGCTGCTGCGGTGGCCTCCACCTCTCCAAGAGCTGCAGGAGTGACACACGGCTCCCTCCTGGGGCCAACTACCCCGAGTCCATCTCTGCCCACAGACCCCTTCCTCACGACAGCATCTGCAGGTGCACCCACCGCAGGGCAGCGCCAGGCCACGAGGGTGGCAGAGGCCAGTGTGCTGCCTGGACTGGTGGCTGTGGCAAAAGAAGCTGGGCACAGCGAGCTCAGGACAGCGTCAGCAGGACCTCCAGGGCCCACCCATGCCAGCCCAGGCTCTGCACCTCTTCCTAGCTCCAAGAACCCTGCTCCAGAGCATAGCACTGGGGCTGTGCACTACACCAGTGCCACCAGCTTGCTGTCTCCGTCCTACGTGGTGACTTCTACTGGACTTGCAGGTGCTGCCAGCTCCCTGCTTAGCTCGCAGACCCCAGCTGCACCAGCAGCAGTGATGCCTGATGCTCAGTCTATGCCCAGCCACTCCATCACCTCCCAGCGTCCCTTCACAGCCAGAGAGCATCTCACTGCTGCAGCAAGAGTGGCCTTCACCACAGCTGAGCTGATGACGATGGGCAAAGCAGGCTCCCCAGGGGTGAAGCCCCCTGGGTTTCCTGCTCCTGCTCACGTACTGCCCTTGAGGTTCCAGCTGTTGGGTGTTGCATACACCCAGGCTCTGAGCAGCAAATCCTCAGGGCCCTACAGGGAGCTGGAGGAAGAAGTGAAGCTGGTGGTGAGTGCAGGAGCTGGGGGGTGGAGATATTGGTACTTCTGGGTGCGTGGGGCAGGGAAGGCGGTT